GAAAAGTACCACCAATCAAAATATATAAGGTTTCTCACCAACCAAATCACAGAAAAGTGCCACCAATCAAATTATATAGGGCTTCTCACCAACCAAATCACAGAAAAGTACCACTAATCAAATTATATAAGGCTTCTCACCAACCAAATCACAGAAAAGTACTACTAATCAAATTATATAGGGCTTCTCACCAACCGAATCACAGAAAAGTACCATCAATCAAATTATATAGGGTTTCTCACCAACCAAATCACAGAAAAGTACCACCAATCAAATTACAGGGCTTCAGAAAAACTATCATCAATTTAATCACAGAAAAAGTACCACTATATTTTTTCACCGAAAAAATACCACCAATCAAATCACAGAAAACAACCGCAGGTCAATTTATATGACTGTCCGCCAATTAAATAACATGATACACACAATGGTTTTCACAATTGCAAACAAGAATACAGATGAGGAAGGTCATTTGGGGTTAATGAGGAGGTTTCTCAGCTCATTAACTAGAATGATTGGAGACAAAAGTTACTTACCCATCTTAGATCACACTCAACAAGTTTTAATCTGCGTTTTTCACACCACTGTCTCAGGTCAGGGAAAACCTGAAAGACAAACGGGTACATATTTAGTATGCAAAAGACACTGGCAGGAATGCACTGCACTCAATACTTTTCTGACAGTTTTGAACTCCCGCCCCAAACAAAGTGTAATATTACTGGGTAAAAAAAATTGAAATAACAACGTTTTATTGAACATGACTTGCCAGCTAAGAATGTGGTGCTTTAATGCATGAAAAAGACCTTATGTCAACACAATTGTCAGTGTTTTATATACTATGCCTTAAAGTGCCTGTGTAATGCCCACCCTCACGTTTCCCATTTTAGATCTGTATCCCACTGAAATGGGCAGTTATTGATTTTTTTGCTGAAAATGATTACTTGTATCCAAGTAAGTTTGGGATATTTCTCGTGTTGTAGCCACGCCCACCTATCCTGAAACGGTCGTTTTCCGGATTTCCGACTCTCGCCGAAAGTGTGCCACCAAAATGCCAAAATATGAGAGGAAGTCATACCCCTGAGCCGTAATAACACTGGTCATTCAGTATACTTTTAAACGATATACATTTTTCAGTCGGCGTTTTTTTTCTTTCTTTTTTTGTCTATTTTCTTTCTTTTTGAGAGAGAGAGAGTTTTTAGATGTTGTGTTGTGGGCAGTTACAGTGAAACGTATAGTCATAGTGTAGTATTCACACGTTTCTAATCGATCCGAAGGTGCGACATCAGTGGACATAAGCCACTTAACCTCAGATTCATTTTTTGGAAAAACTGTCCTCGTCCATGAAAAAACAACTAGGTTTAAAGAGAAACGCCGACAACATAAACCTGGCGCAACACTTTTGAAAGAAATAG